TATATATATATATATATATTGGGGCTTGACTTACAACAACTCATCTGCGACAAAACGACGAAAATTAGGAAAATGAGGATTGTCAGGGTCCACTGAGCACCGACAATAACGCAAGAAAAATTTAATGTGTCTCGACAGCTCCGCAACATAAAAGCAAAAGAAACTGCAGCGCAGAGGCAGTAAATAAACAACTGTGGAAATATAAACATGCGGTGCAGTGAAGTATATGTGTGATATATTCCAAGGCACTGCTTATTATATGTGTGAATATTTCAAGCTGTTGAATAAAGACACACCACACCGAACAGAGAGACAGCGTGCTGCTGTCTCTAACTGTGCAACAGAAAGCAGTCGTCTTCTGCGCCGTCTCCTCTAAAACCCTAAACCCTAAACCCTAAACCCGGACCCCTCAGTCCCAGTACTGCAATTTTGTTTGAACTTGGATCTAATATGCATGAATAGTTATATATATAAACACAAATGTATAAGTATATATTTGAATATGCCTATATATATACTTGCCTCCAGGCGTTACTTGCACATATGCGCATAGTTCTATGTATACAGATATAAAGGAATACAAAGATATGCACATAAGTAAATACACAAATAAATACACGCATTACATATTCGGGGTGTCTGTGTAGCAGAGAACAATTCACCTGAAACCACTCGGGGCGGATGTACTTGGCAACGAAAAACCAACTGTCCATCTGTGGCAGAGGACGAGACATGCTCAGGCTAGAGCACGTCGCCTCCTGCAGCCGCAGCAGCGTTAAAAGAAACAGCAGCACCAAAGCCAGCAGCAGAAGCAGTAGTAGCATCAGCGGCACCAGCAACAGCACCAAGTAGCATCAGCAGTAGAAGCACCGGCAGCAGCAGCAGAAACAAGGAGGACTGCTTCAGCAGAAGCAGCAAGACCAGCAGCAAAATCCAACACAGAAGAAGACATTCATTGCTCCTGTTCATTATGTGGGTGATGTCAGTATGCGCAGGCGTCAGGAACAAACAGGAACAGAAGAAAGGCCAGAAAGAAGACAAAGAAGAAAAAGGATAAGAATAGACAAACCCACTGAACAGAGGACGCCCAAAAGCAACAGAATGAGTAGGGGACAGGCAAACGCCCTGTCGAGACACTGGCTCCTCATCTTTGTTCCTCCAAACTCAAGAGAAAATATCCAGTGCTCCTCAGAAGGAGCCGCACACGAAGCGAAAGCAGCCGGGGACGCAGCAGCAAAAGCCGCAGGAGCAGTGTAAGAAGGGGACCACTTTGGCTCGTTTATGCGGGCTTTGGGGTCTCCAGTTGTTGTGATTGCTGGCCCGGGAGATAATAATATCATTTCCTTTGCTGCTGTGGCAGGAGGAGCAGGTGATTTAATGGAAGCTGCCTTGCACATCGTATGAATCGATGCAGAGGATTGTTTCGAGATGTTTCACTGAAGTGTTAATTGCATAAGCAAGAAAAAGGAGAGTAAATAGAGGAATTTGCAAGTTCAGAAACAAAAAAGCCCCCCTACTATGGTGGACGGCACCCGCGGGGGAAGCGCTTCTAAAAATGAAACATGAGGGATAAATAGCCAGATATTAAATTGTGAAGTGTTTTTGTGCTAAAAGACAAGGATTGAACGAACGAAAACGCAAGAAAAGGAGAATGACAACCGAGCTACCTAAGCCTGTCGAGCGACCGAGGCTGCAAAGAGAGCTCCGAGCTACCTGGGCTTGTCGAGCGACCGAGAGAGCTATGGAGGTGTCTAAACAGCTGAACTCTCGAGCAAATACAATAAATGACTCGAAATGAGTTAAATGTACAATATTTTAAGACGTATTTATCGTGAAAAGAAAATAACAACTCGTAGCGGAACAATGAGCACGGGCTTTTTTTATCAGTTTTGTTTGCTGCATGCAGCCGCCATTCAAAGCGAGGGGAATTGCTGTTTTTTTCACGGGTTTCTCGTTATTTTGAATATTTCACCGCCATAATTGTGTTTAACAATTCATTTAAAGGGATATTTCGTATGCCCAGCGACAGTTTGACGTACTTACTGCCCCTCCCTCCCGCCTCCTGAATCGCCTTAGAGAGAGTTTAGGTCTTTCTTTAGCTTCTCCACTTGGCTTTTGCTCTCTTTCTCCCTTTTTTATCTTTGTTCGTCAAAAGAGGCCGTTCTCCCCTAAGTTGTCTCCTTGATCTGAGCCGAGAGCAGCAGCAGCAGAACCACTGCCTGCGCATTCTTTCATCCTTGCGGTTTATCGGCTGCTTGTTGCTTCTGCCTCCTCCGTCTCCTCTCGCTTATCACCATTGTTATTTTTTTTCGCTGCTGCTGGTGCTTCTCCCTGTGGGGTGTCTAAAACAAGATGATTGGCAGCAGCCAGTTTTGGGAGTGCGAGAGGGAGGCGCCTCTTTTGAATCGCAACGCGAATTTTTTTACTCCTGAGTCTGCTGATGAGTTGCTGCAGAGGGCTCAGCGCCTGATGCTGCTGTTAGAAGAAAGACACGGGAAGGACGCAATTGAACAACTCGAAATTAAACCAAATTGTGATGACGAAGCGGCGAAGCGCATCTTCCTACTTGACGCGGAAAGAACCTTCAAATCCCAAGAGTGCAGACAGAAGCTCGTTGAGGTTAGTCAATCACTATACATAAAGAATAGGCTCTGTCGAACTCTGAGCTCGATTGAACTCTTCATTTCTATACCCGAAGCCCTGTTCAAGCCTTCTTTCCCAATCCCTAGGGCATATCAACATCTATTCCTTAATAAAACCTACCAAACCCTAATCGCTAAGTTTTGCTGAGCTTTATTTAACCATTGTAACCCATACAGAAATGATGTTCAAACCTACTGAACCATCTTAAACCCATAAATATGTAGCTTTGCGCTACCCACCCCAGTCGTGGAGACTATAGCAGCAACAACTGAATTGATTTCCTCTGTGGTGCTGCATGCAGCGACCGAATTCGCGTGCCGTTTTTTGCATAGCTTTTTATTTCCCACAATGACCTATGGGCCGTGTGTCGTTCTTCTGCATCTACTTCTGCACGTGCTGCGTTCGTTTGCGTGTGTTGATCGTGCGTAGACAATCCATGTGTTGCTGCATTTGTTTGTTTGTTGTGTCTGCTGTTTTGGCTTGTTTCGCAGGTGTTGTCGTCTCTGTGGCCTGAACTGCTAGACTACCACCAGGGGTTGGGCTTTGTAGCGTCATTTTTACTGCTTTTGCTGCCTGCCGAGGATGTGTTGCGTTTGTGTGTGGGGCTGCATCGGCTGTACGTACAGGGGTATTTCAAAGCAGCTCCTGTGGCTTACGTGCGAGACGCACGAGTCATGCAAAAGCTGGTAGATGAGAGGATGCCCCGTCTCGGTGTCCATCTAAAAGAGCTGGCTTGTGCTGAGGCGTACGCTAGCAAGTGGTTTGTTGGTTTAAACGTGCACGTGCTGACGTTCGAGGCTCTTTTTGACTTCTTTGAAGCTCTCCTTGAAACGGGAGACGTATTTCTTTTCCAGTTTGCCATCGCTCTGCTACAAAACTGCGAAGAAGAACTTCTCGCTTCTGCTAATGCAGCAGAAGCCCTTGAAATACTCAGGCTGGATGCGGCGCGCTACACCAACAAACACAAAGCCAAAGATAACGAACAAGATGGATCCTTTTTCCTGAAAATTGTTAATGATGCAAAAGCTGTACAGATCGAGTGAGAACAAACACAAACGCACGTCTACGCACACCTCACAGTTGGCTCTCCTCATTCTTGCCGTTTCCTGTAGTTCTTTGTTGCTGTTTGTTGCTGTTTGCTGTCGTTTGTTGCTGTGCGTTGTTGCGTGCTGTTGTGTGTTGCTGTTTGCTGCTTGTTTTTGTTTGTTGCAGCTTGTTTGTCGTTCGTTTCTGCTTGCGGTTTGTTGTTTTTTGTTTACTGTTTGCTACTGTTTGTTTTTCTGTTGTTGGGGCGTTCGCGGTGTTTGATATAACGAGTGTATACGTGGAGTACACATTTGCATGCGTGAGGCATTGCCATTCGGTACATATTTTCAACGGTTGTTTTTTGTTTTTTGCTGCGTCCTTGCTTCAGTGAACAGCACATTCAGCTGCTGAGAGAGGAAGCCTTAGAAGATCTCCGGCTCGAGGAAGAGAGGCGAAAGCAAAGGGACAAAGAGGTGTGTGAAATATATAGAACCGGGAATTGAAAGACTGGGAAGCAGCAGCATATACACGCTTTTGAGAAACAATGCAGTGACAGCATCAACACTTGCAGTACTGTTCTGTGAGGTGTTTGTACAGCTGGGCTTGGACTCAGACGATTCCATCGTATTTTCTGACGAGGAGGAAGAAGAGGAGGAATCTAAAGGCAGCTCAGAAGAGGAGAAACCAATGGTAGAAAAGGGAAAGGGGGAGAAATCAAAACCCCTCAATGATTCATCTGTCGAAAAGAGAGAATGCGCTGAGTAAAGCGAAATACAACGTGCAGCGCTCAGCATACAGCGGCATACATGCACGCAGATGCATGAAGCAGAATGCTTTGATATGGCTTGGCTTCCTATCTCACTCATTTTGGTGCTGCAACAGATTTGGAAGCACCGAGACTGAGCCCGGGTGGAGGGGAGGAACTGACATGTGGCTTTCTTCCTCGTGTTCATAGAATTTATTTCTTACTTATATATAATTATACTATTATACATTTAATTTATAGTTTATTAATGATTTTTTTGATATTGCCACTACTGAGTGCATTGAGCCTGCTACGTTCACCGGCTGAACAGGGAGTACAAAACGATGTGGAGAAGTATCACTTGATGTAGGAACTCAGCAAAGAACGTTGTTGAGAATAGCTCAGAGCAGTCGCTATGACTTTAGGAGAAAGTTCTGTGTAGGCGAGTAAGAGATTGCCCTGCGCGAGGGGAGGCATCCCTGTACGGTGGTGTTTATGGAGTGTGCTTAAGTCCACTAGTGTACAGTTGAGTTTAGAGATTAAATTGAACAAGGCCGCTTTTTGCTGCTGTCTTCAGCGTCCTGCGCACAGGACTCGGGGAGAGGCGTATGATGTGCGTTAAGCAGCGAACTTGAATCTGGCGTGGAGGGCCAATGTTCCGTTGAAGTGACCCTAGAGACCATTTGCTTAGTAGAGCTTTCACGAACAAATACACTTATTTAGGCCACTATACGGCCAGTTGTACAAACTTTGATGCGTACATATACATGCATCCAAGTTGAAACGCCGGTGGCTCGCGCCGGGCAGTGTTGCCAATGCTGCAAACATTGAAGTCTGCAAGGATCCTGCTGCATGTGGGGGACTCAGAGCTCCGAAATAATGTTTCAATAACAAAAAAGGATAATACCTTTAAATTCGAAGATCGGCGGAACTTTAGGGGGAAACCGTTGGTCTGACTACACACCCCGTCGTCTTGCTGGTCTAGGCTACTGTCGGCGCATGTGTGCCACTACAAAACTCAAAGGCGGCCTCCGTCGCCCCCTGCTATTGAACATTTCTTTGGAACTTTGAATTTATTTTAAAATTTGTTTTAAAATAATCGGTGTTTGTCTTTAACTAGAGGAAAAAAGCCCTCACGACCTCTCGACCGCATTGCGACCGACCCCCGGCCCGCCACGCGGCATCATCCTTTCCCATGATCCTTTGCAAATACCTGCTTTTCCACTTCTCCTTTTGCATTTCATCAAAACAACTGAGTAGATTAGGTTGAAGTAGTAGCGAGAATTCCCGCAGGAACCGTTCTAATCGGCCTCCCGTCCTCCGGTGCCTGGGAAACTCAATTGAGCATTTCAACAAGAGTGACGACTCCATGGAGGTGGTGAGGGAATAAATTGATCAGACGACCCTCTAGCTACTTCTGCAAAACCTGCAGCTACTGGGCAGTAATGGGGAGCAGAATCCGTTCCAGCTCCTCCAACTCGAGCACGTATTTCGTACTCAGCTGCAGCAGGGGCGAAATGAACTGCAGCTCCAACGGGAACTGCCTCTGCTCTTACCAGCAGAAAAAAATAGCGTCCGTCCTGTAGCATCTCCTACTAGCAACAGCAGCAGCAGCAGTAGCAGCAGCAGCAGTTGCTTGTGTTGCTTTTCTTGGCTCGTGGTGTCTATATTTCGATTTTTTGAAGAAACTTCATTTGGGTGGTTTACAAACTTCTTCCGTCTTTTTTCTACGAAGTATCTGTCTGCTCCAATGTATCTCTGAACCGCCGAAGATTTAGTTTCAGTTTGTTTCCTTCACATGTACAGTGCTTCATTGGGGCGCCTGCAGCAGAAGATGGTGCCTCCGCTTTCTTCCCCTGATGATGGCGTTGCGGTGCCAGCCCCTTTAATTGGTGCTGAGGAGTTGCTGCTGTGGGTTTCAGATGTGTTGGGGGACATCGGCGAAGAAGTAAATTTCTCTTCTTTGCGTTTCGGTCATATTTTTCTGCATTTATTTAATTTGATTTGGCCTGAAGTCTTCCAAGAGGCGCCGCATGCAGGTTGCCTGCAGCCTGAGACAACAGCAGACGTCTCAGCGAATTGGGAGCTGCTGCAGTGGGCTTTGCAGCGTGTGGGGGTCCCTCTTTCTTTTTTAAACCCTTCGGGTGTATGCGCGGGCGACTTTGCTGCATGCTACCAGGCACTTGTACTCCTGTTCTTCCTGTTCTGTTTAGCGAAAAACCACGAATGTGAATTCGTCCTTGCACACCCGGTAGACCCGCAGCTGACGGAGTTCATGTCTTCTGAGGCTCCTCTCGCCTGCCTCATAGCGGGCGGTGCTGTCCGCGTCTCTGAAAATCTTCGAGAGAAGATCATGACGCCAAAAACTATAAGAACTGCTACTGCAGAAGCAGCACCAGGGGACGGGCACAGCATGCAGCAGCAACTCCCAGCAACAGCAATAGGCAGGTCCAGCCACACACAAGAATACTCCAACGCACACATACGCGAGCGCATTCGCCGGCCCGTCCAACAACAGCAACCCAAACAGCAGCAGCAGCAAAACAAACAGCAGCAGCAGCAACACCAACAAAAGCAACACCTAGGTGGGTCCTCTTTGGTGAGAGAAGAAGGCCTGGTGGACGCTCTTCCGGCTGCCTTTAAACCAACAGGTGTTCCTCCTGTAATTGTAGGAGGAGCATTCAATAGCGACGGCACCTTCTGTGTAGAGACTGTTGCTGCTGCTCCTGGTGGTGCTGCTGGCGCTGGGGCTGCTGATACTCCTGGGCCCGGGAACAAGACGCACAACAACAGCGGCAACACTAAGGATGTGGAGGTGCAGACGTCCGGGAGTGTTGGTCCTCTGCAGCCGCAAGAGTGGCAGCTGCTACCGCAGCAGCTGCTATCAGTCGATTGGAGTGGGGAGGGCCAGAAGGTGAAAGGGGAGCAGCTTGTTGAGTTGCTGCGATATCAGAACGAGTTGCTACAGCAGCAGCTGCAGCAGGCTGAGGAGGCGGCAGCAGCCGCGCGTCGTCTGCACCAACAGCAGCTACGGGACGCCCGCGAAGCTGCTGCAGTAGCGCTGCAGCGGGAGAAGGAGAAGTGCAACGCAGAGGTGCTGCAGCAGCAGACGCAACATGCAGCAGCAGTGCAAGCTATGTGGCGTCAGTTAGATCTCCGACTTCATCATATTGAAGACGATATGGCGGTCGACGTCGAGGTCCTCTCTGCGTCCTCTTGTCTTAAAACCGAAACAAAACCTAACCAAAAACCATCGATGCAGGGTCCATCTTCTGCTGCAGCTTCAGTAGAAGCAGCTGCTGCTGCCGCTCCTGCTGCTGCTTCTGTTGGAGAGGAAAGTTCTCAGTGTTCAGGGGAGCAGCCGACGGCGTTGGCTCGGGTAAAGAAGCTGGAGGCTCTGATGGAGGAGCGGCTGCGAGCTCGTGATGCAGCAGCAAGCGAGGTGAAACAGCTGATGCAGGAAGCCCTACAGCGCTGTGCAGAATACAAGCGGGAGAGCGACTCGCGGTGGGAGGAATGGCGGCGGTGCGAAGACCTTCGAAGCTGTTTGCTGCAGCTGCTGCCTGATGCGGAGCCTAAAGGCCCGAAGCGTTCCGGTGTATCTGCAGCAGCAGCAACAACAGCAGGTGCAGCAAGTGCAGCAACAGCAGACAGCGGAGGCTCCGTCGCAGCAGCAAGGCAGGCCTTGAATGAACGGTTGCGTGCATTGCTTGATAGGACCGGCTGCATGCGTCCTGTGGCTTCTGTAACGGAGCAGCATCTGCTGTCCGCCCTCGTGGAATGTCTTTGCATGCAGCAGGTGCAGCAGGCGCAGCACCGCCAGGCTCACCTTGAGTTGCTACGGCTGTCCCACCAGCAGCAGCAGGCACATCAGCAAGCGCAGCAGAAGCAGCAGCACCTGCAAGGCTCTGTTTCAGGCGCCTTCAAAGCGGGAGGAGGAAACAATATGGAGTCAATGCAAAGGGAGTTGCTGCTTGAGGAGAAGGTTAGAAGACTCGAGGTGCGCAACCAACGGCTCCTCAGAACTTCGGAATATCTTCGGCTGAAAGTCGAACATGTGCAAAAATGGAAAGCAGAAGATGCATTCTTCACAAACAGCCAGGTGCACAAGCGTCTCGAGGACGCCAGCGACACGCAAGAAGGGCAAGAAGCCACAGGCAATGGGAAAGCGCCGCACGCGGCGGAGACCCAGCAGCAGCTGCAGCAGCAGCGCAGGGAGCAGCTCGTATCTTGGCTGGCGCAGGAGGACACAGCGGATGCAATAGACAGAGACTCCGAGCTGTTACAGCTCCTTAAGACGCTGCACAGACATCCCAAAACAACATTTGGAGAGGAGGCAGAGGCGGAGACCCGAGCCAATTCAGCAGAAACCGAAGAAACAGAACATTGCACTTCCCTTTCTGTTTACCCTGAAACCAAAAAGAGGCTCCTTGAGCTCTTCTGGCTCCTCTTGGGCGACTTCTACAGGTGCGCTCAACAACTAGCCATCTCAGCAGCTACCAGCTGGCTAGTCGGGTAGCAAGCTAGCTAACGAACGGGGTAGCTATATATCTAGCGAACTAGACTTTTTACGTTATGTGGTAGCCATCCAACTAGCCACCTGCCCAGCTAGCTAGCCAACTAGTCAGCTATCCAGATAGCTATCCAACTAGCCAGCTGGCTAGCTAGAGGCACGAATCAGCCACCTGGTTCGGCATGCTACCGACCGCTAAGCTCAGCAACTCGCTCGCTAGCTAGCCAGCGAGACGCACGAGCTTGCCACCTAGCAAGCCATGGTCCCCTGCAAACTCATATCAACGTGAAGTGGACACGTAAAAAAAAGAGAGTAGAGAGCGGGAACAAAATAAGAAAAGCGACCACTACTTGCTAGGAGCCATAGCCGTGCCCCTTAGCAGTGCCTCTTAGCCCTTCGTTATACTCGTAGTTGTTGTAGGGTATTTTTGTTGGTTGTAGGCGCGTTTCCAGCTATTGTTTATTATTATTTTTAAATATATATGTGCGCATATACATATTGCTGCATTATATGATTGTGGTTGCCTGTTTAAGGTTTAAGGCTAGACTTGAGGAAGGGCGCCATCAGCTGCAGCAGATGCAGGCGGAGCTGCGTTTTGCTGTACAGGAGAAGCTGGCGGCGTTGCAGGTGCGTGTTTGTCTCTTAGTCAGCACCTTGAGGCGTACGTACACCGGCAATTGTGTTGCATATGTGGCGTGAAAGCGTTCGCCTTTTTGGTGTTTATTAATAAATGCAGGCAGCAGAGGAAGACAGAAGGGCACTGCTTTGTGCATTCGAAAAGAAATTGCACAGCGACAGGACTGCAGCAAACAAAACCATCGGCAAGACGGTCGTTAAACTGCTCGTAAGCCCCGACTTTTCTGTCTATAAATACACACACACACATACAGAACGAGAGAGACAGAGTAGAAGGAATGCTTACAGCCATACCAGAAAGAATACTTATTGGTATAGAGAATGCTGAACGCACTTAGAAGAAATTCATATAGTAGTCTCAACAACAAGTATCAAACAAAAATAACAAATATTAAACAACAAAATTTGCACACATAATGCAGGTGCATGTTTGTTTGCTTTTTGTGTGTTTATCATTCGTTTTGGTTTCTGTTTGCTGCATATCGATGGCATGCAATACTTGATTAATTGCTGTCCTTCGGCGTCTTCTCAGGTGGCCCAAGAAGAGGCCGAGACACTGCAGAGAGGAAAGAAGAGGCAAGAAGAAGAGCACGAGGCGTTGGTGCAGGTGTTTTACCAAACAGACAAAAGGCGTTTTAATGCAGTGCTAGTCAGTCTACGCACCCTAAGCCAATGCCTAACGCGACAAAACATAAAATGCAGAAGAAAAACAGCAGTTGGAGCAGCAGCAAAGCAAGTTGCTTCCTTTCTCGTGCTTGTGGCCCGGCTAACACCGGCCGTGTTGCTGCTGTGCCTTGCGTTTCATAAGTGCACGGCATTGCAGCACATGATTGGTTTGTGGCTTACAAAACTACGTAGAGGATGAGGACGTCGTGCTGCGCATTTAGACTCTAACAAAACCAACTATAGATGTTGTATTGTCCTGCAGACGAAGCTAGAAGCCGTGCAGAGGCAGAACTGTGTGTTGCAGAAGAGGGAGGAGTTTTGGAATGACCTGACGAAGGTGAGGAGCAGTCTATGGAATGAAGAAGCAAATGGAAGGCGTTTTAATTTAGGAAAACTTTTGATTTATAAATCAGATGATTTTTTTATTTAATCGATAGTTTACCGTGACTCAAAAGTTAGTGTCTATGCAATAATACCTACTACTATATATATATATATATATATATATATATATACGGGCGTTTGGTGGGTGCTAGGGTGTATGGACATGCACTAAAAGCGGTTGCAGTTAATACGCTGTATATGCGTTTACACCTATAAATATATGGATGTATATGTATATATATATGCGTCTGTGTGGGTGCGTCTGCGTGTGTCTGCTGGGCGATGCTGGGGTCACTCAGGCCCTGTCCATGCAGCTGACGCGCCCCTCTGAGTCGACACAGCAGGCCATTCAAAACTTGTGGGCTCAGTTGGTTGGTTCGAAGGCGTTAATGGAGACAAATAACCTCGTCGCTGACATTTACATCTCCCCTTTCTCTCCGCTGTTACAAGACGCACACAAAACAGACGGAGAGGGAAGCGACCAGGCAGCAAAAACCCTCAGCCCGCGGCAAAACGGGAGCGCATTTGGTGCTGCTGCCACTGCTACTGTTGCAGCAAGGGCAGTTTTGCGCTCCACGTCGCGATTGAGCAACAGAAACCCGAGCAGCTCGACAAAAGCAACAGCAGCAGCAACCACAGCAGGCGGAGCAGGAGGAACAGCAGCAAAGACGTCATCAAAGGCTAGCGGAGCTTCGCCTGCTCTGCAGGGGAGAATCCCTCGAGGGGTAGCGGCAGCTGCAGCAGCCTCTGCTGGGGATTCTGGGGCAGCAACACCAGCAGCAACAGCAGCAGAGATGTGGAGTGCAGCGGATTCTTTCACTCGCTGTTTGCGGGAGATATGTTCACAAAACAACACACCAGGAGCATCGAACATATGCTGCAAGAACCCGTCTGCAGCTGCGTCTCCTAAGGCGGAAGGGGGAAGAGGATCTGAGAGTTGGAGTGCGGCCAGCGAGCCTGACAGCGAGTTAAGCGAGTTAAAGCGCCTAGAAGGAAAATATGTATTCACCTCGGATTCAGGAGAAACAACGCATTCGGCGACAAAGGAAACAAGAGACGAGATGACATCCAACGACAAAATGCCTAGCGATTGGCTGAGGGTCCTCAAGCTAATGACGCAAGAGGCAACAGCACTGCTGCAAAAGCACAAGGAGATCAAGGAGAACGAAGTGAGGAGAAAACACAGAACCCAGGCACTCAGTTTTTCTATCTGCTTGGATTGGCTTTGTACAGTTCTCCATTTGCCCCTTTGCCTCAGCAATTCAGCTCTGTTACGGCTCCTTTCCCTGTTGACAGGGGCTTCTGCCTTGGCTCTAATCGTCCTCATTTAACAGGGAGCGCTATAACTGTATTCCTCCTAATAGGGGTTACTTGGGGTTTTATGCAGCTCGCAGGCAAAAGTGGGAGCAGAAAGTTAAATGAAGGGTCGGCTTTTGTTTTGTGTTTTTGCATGTACATATACATCTATATATATAATATGTGTGTAATATATATATATATATATGTATATATATATATACATATATGTATATACGTTGCGAACATCTTTGAATTGCAAATGAAAACAATACCGAAGAAATCAACGAAATGGATGCAGCTGCAACCTGTTCACCGAAAAAATTTTCGGATGTCTGTGCAACTGTTGCAGATTAAGGAGCTGAAGAGGGAAAGAGAAGGACAAATCGAGAAAAACAAACAGGCAGGGAGAAGGAATAAAGCATTTGTTCTGAAATACGTTTATTTGCTTTTTATCGTTTTCATATCAGGGTTCCGCTTTTCTTGAACACCCACCCAGATTTTCCTGCAATGTTAGCATTAAGCCGTATATGCTGATTCATGAATGGGGAGATACGTTCAATAATGTAAAGTCGTGTTCTGTCTCCTGAAAGTGTATACCACAGGGAGGATGTAAAAGCATTGTTCGGTCAGCAGTTGTTGCTTTGTTAAATGTGGAATCTCCGGCTTTGTCTTCGTTTGTCTTCAGTTGATGCAACAACTCAGTGAATTTCATGTTCAGTGGGCCTCGCTGCGCGAGCAACATGAATTTCTGCAGCGCCAGGTCGCCTAAAACCGTTATTTCCTTCCTAAACCCTAAACTTTAGACAGGGTATTCAGTTGCAACATGCACCAAGGGGAATGTGCCGTTCCTTTCAAAGTGATTGTCTTTCTGCTCTGTCCAATAACTCTGCCGTGTTTATTCTTTCTTTTCGGTATTTTGTGCAGCACCAGCTGTCGCTGGAGGCCTTAAAACGGGCCCATGCAGATCGTTTACAGACGGAGGAGTTGAGGAGGGATGCAGAAGAAGAACTTAAGACGGAAATTTCAAAATTCAGAATCAACGAAAAGGAAGCAAAGAAAATAATCTCGGCCGTCGCGGCACACGCAGGCAATGTACCGTACATTCAAACCCTCTGCAACGCCTTCTTAGCTGGAGCAACAGATCCAGCAGCAGCAACGGCAGCACCAGCAGCAGTAACAGCAGCAGATGCCTTCAAGGATTCGAATATCGGGGGATTACACCCCAAGCCAACTACCCATGAAGAGCTAGGGACAGAAGAAGCTGCTAATGGTGAACTGCCAGCAACAACGCCAGATAAGAGAAATAGCACATTACAGATGCAAGGAGACCCAGAAGAGACTCTTCGAGCTCTCGCGGACCCTCCATCTGCTTCTGCTTTCTCCCCGTCTCCGTCTCCTCCTCAACATCTGCTACCAGTCGATGACGAATTCATTAAGCCAAAAATCGACGGAAGGATTAGCAAAGAGCAAGCGGGAGGCCCCCAGCAGCACAGAAAACAACGGAGTGTAGCTCCACCTCAGTTCGATGGCTCAGCTGCACACGTCACAGAAAGCCCAGCACTTATTTCCCTTATACAATGCGCAGCTCCCAACAAAGACAAACAGCAGCAGATGCAGCAGCAGCGGAAAAAGCAACAGCAGCAGCAGCAGCAGCAGCGGAAGCAGCGGCAGCATGGGTTTCTGTATGCTGAGTCAAACACTGTAGCAGCAGCAGCAGAAGCAGCAGCAGCAGATGTAATGACGTCTTCTTCCACCTGGAACGCCCTAGGTTCTACAGAAGAGGTAGATACTAGCGGAAGCCGCAGCAGTAGCAGCAGCAGCTCATTCTGTGCAGATGACTTTAATCGCCTTTCAAGTACTGCACTTCCCACTCCCCGGTCTCCGCCTCGAGCAGCCCTAGCCCCTCTTGTCTCTCCTTCGCGTCTCGTGCAGGCTCTGCGCAAGCAAGCCATGTCAGCAGACCCTGAGAGCAGTAGCAGCAGCAGCAGGAGCAGCAGCAGCAGGAGCAGCAGCAGCAGCAGGCGCCTGGTCAGCGGCATCGAGAAGCCGCTGCGCTCTCCAGACAGCCCAGCATCGGGCGACGATGCAAAAGAGGAGGCTCAATACAAACAAACGGAGAAGGAAATCAACAACAACGAAAGAGAGAAGACAGACAAACACAGGGAAAGACAGGCGACAGACACAGCAGAAGCTCACCTCTTGACCAATGGTCAGCTGGGCAACACACCCGCAAAAGACCCCTCAACAGCAGCAGCAATACCAGGAGGCGACGATCAGCAAAAGTTTGAGTCTGGAAGGTATCAAACCAGAGCTGCTGCTGAAAGGGCTTGGGAGGCATTTGTTGGGGAGTACAGACACCCCACTCGATCGCTGCAGCAGCAATCGTTTTCTTCTGACAAACGCACGCAGGCTTGGCTGGTTCGTGGGGGAGGGTCTAGCGGCAATAGCAGCAGTAACAGCATCAGCAGCAGCAGGGAGAGCGCGCAGTCGACCTTGTTGTCACAGGGCATGGAGGAAGGAGAGGCAGCAGTAGCGGCAGCGCTGATTCGTCTGCAGCAACAGCAGAAGCAGCAGCAGGAGCAGCAGCAGGGGAGTCTGCTGCTACCCCCGACACGCGAGTCTACGGACAGTGCTTTGGAAGACCTTCTTCATCTTGAGCAGCGGCTGTGTGGGGAGGCATCTGAGGAGAGAGAAGGAGAGGATATAGGTGTTTGCTTGACAGATTTGAAAGCAGAACAAACGGAAGATCCTTTCATTGCCGACGACTGCCACCAACTCGGCATCTCCGCCTCCGCTTTTCTCAAACGCCTCGGCACCCAGCTTGAAAACCGCATGCGCATCTCTTGCAAAAGGCAGGAGAGGCGAAGCTGAATGGCCTATTTTTGATGTTTTTGTATCTGCATCTTGTTAGCCACGTAGTCACTGGAATTAAAAGATTGTCAGTTAATGCAATAAAGCAACGGAGAGAGAGACCCCTATTATGGAACGGTGCCAAGGAGCCCACTGAATTTCGTTGCAAATAAAAAAAAATAAAAAAAATATATATGTAAGATCAGGAAGGCAGTGCTGCGCTGCGCAGACAGTTCAATACCTTCAGCATATGGACTATATATCTGTATATATATATATATATATATATATATATATATATATATATATATATATATATATGGATACATATACAGTGGCAGATCATCCGTGCCATATCTACAATAATACGCATGCTTGTGTATGTAAGTAGTCTATACGTTTATGTGTATTTATATACAAACCAGTAGCCGCTTCGAAGCCACAGAAGCTCACTAGTTGCTTAAGTTTATCCTTCTTGCCCCTCCAGATATTCTCTCTCTCCGCTTTTAAATCCATCAACAGCTTTCGTCCCCCTTATACTGCTGCGTGCCCTCACAGAGGCATTCCTTTTGTTCTATTTTATTTTGAAAACACAATCAAACCGAGTTTTGAGATATTCGAGAGACACTTTAGCTGTGTGCAATGCAGCACTGCCAAGCAAGGCCAGCAGAACTGCGGAAATCCAGAAGGAACTCAGGTGTATTATTTGGAGGTATTATTATCTATGCTTGCTACAAAAAGGTGTATTTATTTAAATGTACTGCGATTTAGGGACGCCTACTAAAAATTGTATTAGTATGCACTACATTATTACTCAGAGGTGTCGTAATTCAGGAGTATTGTAATGCCTACATTCATCTCATTTCTCATTACTTATATACATTATAATTAATGTTCTTCTTCTGCACTTATTTTCGGCAGTTAATATCTTGCTTTGTAGTTTCGGTCTGTTTTCACATTTAACGAATGCAGCTGGACATATTAAAGAGTAAATGACTAACGGCTGCGCGCTGATGTGGCTCGCCGGAACTGAGCGACAAAAGCAACGAACGACAACAATTACGATAAGACCATTATTATACCTATTGTTTGCTTCGTTTCACAGCCTGTTTAAATCCTTTTGTGGCTCATACGCACATACACCCCAAGCATGCCGTCCAGTCGTTGCCTTAAAACTGCTGCCACGTCTGTGCTTCTCGTTATTCTCTCGATGATCCGCGCACCACTTTCAACTCCCCTACACCGCCAGTCGGAAACAATAAGAAAAGCTAGACAAAACAGCGACAAAAGGCGGGTGCGTCAACAGAGGTATTAATGCAACAGAAGCTCTTCTCAGCAACATAGCAGCAGCAGCAGAAGAAGTAACTCAGCAGCAGTAGCAGAAGAAACGCAGCAGCAGCACGAGGACCGGAAACAAAACAGCAGTGGCAGCAGCAGTAGTAGGAGCAGTGACAATACCAGCGGCAGCAGCAGCAACACAGAAGCAGCAGCAACGCCAGCAGCGTCAGCATCACAGTAGCAACACAACGGCAGAAGCAACAGCAGCGAAAAGCACGAAATTGTTTCGTGAGGCCCTGCGTATGGGGCTCTTGGAGACGGACGAGCCGGAGGTGCATAAATGGCTGGAAGAAGAAGCAGAAGAACCGATACCAAGAGCAATCGACCCTCCCAATCGCCTCCACTACGTTGAGTTAAGTGAAGAGGGATTCTTCACTACTGTCGTTGGCAGGCACGGTCAGCCGCAGCAGCAACAGCATGGGCAGTAGTAGCGAAAGCGATAGCAGCAACAGTTGGAGGTGGCGAGCTGCAGCCATGCGACGGTGTCTACCCCAGATGAGGCCCGTTACACCGCCATCTTCCTTACATTCTGGACCTCACAGTGCGCAGGACAATGGGGTCAGCTGCTGCTCCCCATAGAACAGCAGCACCCCATGGCGAAGCCGCATCTACTCTGGGCCTGAATAATACTTCTTTACGGTTATGATAGTGCATGCATCAGCTCTGTGAGGGCAATCCCATACGGAGCAAGAAGACATCCTTCATCTGCCTCTATGATATCCCTCCTCTCCACTATGCACACAACAACCCACGACAAAGTGAATCCTTCAACAACAGGCCGCCCAGGGTTGATAAAACATCATTTTTCGCTGCCACTGATCCTAACAGAGCTGTTGTCACTCTCACACGATGATCATCCTGCCTCAGCATTGCGCTCGTCTCCGAGTCCACTGCCATGGAGCATATTACTAGTCAGAACCAGGTGTGGAAGCGTACACGCGGCAAAAACAAGCGGCCAGTTCTTCCACAGAGCCCAGTACGGGTGCAACCTTGACGTCGAACAAACGCTATCTGAGAAAACCTGTGTGTTCGCGCTGATATCGTTTGCAATTTCTGGAAAACAAAACACGAGCGGCTTTCAAGGAGATGGGCGTGGGTTAAGATATATTGCAGCTTGTTATATTCTCCTCTCTGAACTTAGATGTATGCGGCTCAGCTGCAAACCGGCAAGTATATGAAATTACCCAAAAGTGAGTCGAACTCAACATCCGGTGATTCCTCAACTCCATACACAGCAGGAGCGGGTGGGAAGATTCATAGGACGGTGGAAACGAAGATGGATTGCAGTCGCCAGTATTCTTTGAAGGCATTACTATTCATGAATCTTCCATATAGACGCTATTTCTCTATATATTTTAAATGTTACTCCTACTTCAAGGCAGGCAGGACTGTTCAAAGGATAGTTGCACTCTTACAACTATCTGCGCTAAATTTGGTACCTTATAATGGCATGATTGCCAATAGATATTATTATATACATATGTTTTACATAGATTTTATTATGGTATAAAGGCATTTTAATTCAAAGTTACCATAGTTTACACGCATGAGCTGGGGTGCATGGCCAGCTCTGTCCGGTCCAATGGTCGGCAGCGGGAGTGGGGAGGAGGTGGCCTCCCTGAATATTTCTAGATTTCGTCTGTATTGAATAAAACACATTTATTGCACTTCAGGAGTAAGTTAATATAAAGAAAGGGAAAGAAGGGGTGCAAATACAACTGAGGAATGCATGCAGTTTAATGAAGCTGATGTGGAGTGGTGCGTCTGCTTGTTTGTTCGTTCTTTTTCCTTTCCCCGGCTTCATGTTCTTTTCTTGCATTTACTTTGGTATTTATATTCGTTTTCGCATTTGTGTCTGTTTCTACATTTCATGAATTCACTCGAACCTACTGAACACCCCTCTTCCGCTGCCTTCGCTCGCGGGAGCTGAGGGGCAGCTGCGCGACTTGGCACAATAACACCGACTCCAAAATTAACGATAACAGCATTCGTTTGCTATTTTCCCTTTTTTCTCAAGTGTTCTAACTTTTTTGTGGCGCTCGGGTGTGCATAATCGCCAAACTAACCGTCAAACTGTTGCCTTTAGGCTCATCTACCACGGCCTCGTGGCGGCTCTGTTTCCTGTTAACCTCCTATTACCAGCGCAGCACTTTCAACTCACTTACACAGCCACTAAGTAGTGATAAGACGATTGAAGGGAAAAAACCAAAAGCAGAGGCGGCTGACGAGGGCATCAACAAAGGCGTACAGCGAACAGCAACTCTTCGCGACGACGTATCAGCAACAGAGAAGCCGTAGCAGCTAGCAGCGGCACAACAGCAGCAACACGGCAGCAGCAACATAACAGCGGCAACACAACAGCATCAACAGAGCAGCATCCGGAGGAGTCCAGACAATGTCTTGTGAGGCACGGCGCACGGTGGCTTGGGAGACGGACGAGGCGGAGATCGACGATCATTTTGAAGGAGAAGCAGAGGAATCGAGGCCAACTGCAATTGACCCTCGCAAACATCTCCACTACGTTAAAATCAGTGAAGAAGGACTTGTCGCTACTTTCGTTGGAAGGGGAGAATATACAGATGTAGGGGTACGTCGATAGTTTAGGGGTCAGGGTTTAGCGTGAGATGTGCACGACTGCGTGTGTATCACTATCAACGATTGCATTGTCTGCTACCCCCTGTTGAGGCGGCTTACCATATAGTGATTTTGTTTCTTTCTTTCTTTCGGGCCCAGGGTTTAGGGTTTAGGGTTTAGGGTCTGAAGTTGGTTATCCCTTCGTCAGGCGGTGCAAGCGAACTATCCTTTCCCTCGCCGAAGCCCAATAGCATATTACGAAGTCAAAATTTTGGAAGGGCCCCCCATGAGGGCTGCAATTTGTGTTGGCTTAGCTCCTTCCTCGGCTCTTCTGAATAGACCTCCGGGAGGAGAGGCTAGGTTTGCCGTACACTTCTTCTTCAGTTTCCTTCTGCCGAGTAGTTTGCTTGTTTGCTTTTTCTTTTCGTTTGTCTATTAATTTTCTTATTAATACACATTTTGCTTGGTTATTAAAAACCAAGCTGAAAAGATTTTGCAACTTTTTGTTTGGTTTTTGGTCCGCTTGTATGTATGTTTTTTTTGTCTGCCTGCCTGTCTGTCTCAGTCTGCTTGTCTGCGTGGTTGTTTGATTGTCTCCTCTCTTCCGCCTTCTCCTCATGCTTCATTTATTTTTTCGGCAATTTGTGTTGGGGAGTTCCACTGCGACTTTTGTCGTCATAAGACCTAACGTGGAACCCACGCTGTGTGAAAGTTCTGTCTGCTCTTATCTCTGTCTCTTCCTGTCTCTGTCTCCTCTTGTTTCTGGCTCCTTTTGTGCCTGTCTCTTTTTGTTCCCGTCTCCTCGTCTGCTCTGTCTGTTTCCTTTTGTCTCTGGTTTTGTTGTCGTTTGCTCTTGTCTCTTTCTGCTATTGTCCCTGTCCCTTGCTGCGTCTGTCTGTTGAAATGCGTCTGTCCACTTGTGCCTTTCTTTTTCTTTTTTTTCTTATTCTGCATACTCCCCCTAATTCCTTTTTATTATTTTATATCCTTCTACTTCTTCAATCCATTCACTCTCTTCAATTTCTTCAATTTACCTCCTCTACTGCGCTTCTAATAATTCTTAGGTCTGTTGGATACAGAGGCGAAGATGGCTTTCAGCAGAGTCGTCCGGGGGGAGGGGAGGGCAGCACATTTGAAGCGTTTGGTCCTTCGTTTGGGAGAGGAGATGTTGTGGGCTGTGGAGTTGTTAATTCTTCTAGAGGTGTTTTCTTCACGAAAAACGGGGTGTTTTTGGGAAATGCAGGCAGGGTGGAGCCTCTCGCTAACCTGTACCCTACTGTTAGTCTTAAACACAACGGAGATGCAATCCGAGTAAACTTCAGAGGGCCATTCCTCTTCAATCTCCGGCTTCTCTTCCACGTGAGCTGTACATTCACAGTGAATACACCCGAAAGATGGAGCAGTAGGGAGAAGCCGCGCGGAAAGCCGGAGTCTAGTGTTTAGGTTTCAGGGTGTAGGGTATACCTGCAGAGGTTTTGCTTGCATTCAGACTTAGCTGGCTTTATTGATACTTTCTTTCTTTGGGGTTTAGGGTTTAGGGTTTAGGGTTTAGGGTATAGGTTTTCGTAGGGTATAGGTTTTCGTGTTCGCGTTTCAGCGTCAGCTGATGGAAGAGAGGCAAATGATACGCCAAGAGCACCTGAATCCAGATACCCTTTTATCTCTTGTTCGGTCTTATCTACTGCACAGTGGATTCGAAAAGACCCTCAAAGCGTTCAATGAAACAGTGGGGAAACCAAAGCAAAGGAGTCAGCTAGTAAACCCTAAACCCTAAACCCTGGATGCTGTGACTGGCGCCTATGCAGACAGGCCTGTTAAGGAGTTCGTGGAGTTTATGATTTAGGGTTAGGGGTAGCGCTCACTGAATAGATTTCGTCGTAGCGTTCAAGGGGGAGTCTTTTAAAAAGTGTAATATCACTGTTTGTTGTGGTTAGTGAATAGGGTTTATCCTGAGGGTTTATTTTGGGAGATTACTATGCGGGCTTATCATTGGGGTTTATTGTGCGGATTTATTGTGCGCTGTTAATACATGGACTCAGAAGAGAGGAGTAGTGTACAGGTTTGAGGGTTTAGGGTTTGGCGAGAAATAAATGTGGGGGTTTTGCGATGGGGTTCAACCGAAGGCTGGAGTGTTAGGGTTTAGTGAAACATTTAGCACTGTGCTAGACTATGATGAAGCTTTAGGGTTGTTTGGGGATTTAGCGAAGCGTTTATCATTAGTGTACATAGCATTCGTTGAGGGTTTAGGGTGTATGGTTAGGGCTGGGTGGAGGCCTTAGCATAGGGGCAAACTGCTAGGATTTAGGGCTTAGGGTCTGTGATTTGGGGGGGCTTTAAGCATTGGTGCAGACTACTGGAGTTTTGTGTGAGAGTATAGCATTTAAGGTTTTAAGGTTGGGAATGAATAATGAAATACGGGTAATTCATTCATGCGAGTCCACTCTCTCTCTCTATATATATATAATATATATATATATATATATA